AGTGGCCCACCTCTGCAGCCTGTATGAAATTTTATGAAATACAATATGAAATTTTTTAAGATGAATGGCCTTTCAGGAAGACAGTGTATGAGTTCACAAAAAATAAGAAACTGTACTGTCAGGAGTTCCATACCAGAACTAAACCCACATTTCCCCAGCCTTAGCTGAGTCTGCGCTGCATTTCATTGCAGCACCAATGAAACACAGCCCTCTGGTTCAAAGAGAGATTTACCTAAGAAATGGTTTTTTTGCTGAATGACACGAAAGCAGGGTTTAAGCTCCAAAGAATGAAGTAGAGCAGTGGCATGGAAGAGCATTAAGGCAGCTGCATGGCTTTGGATTATAATCTGTTCACATCTTTATCTCGGAGCAAATAAGGTGCAAATGTCTGTGTCAATGTATGCAGAGCGCTCCCCTCACACCCCTGTCGTACTCCCACCCCCAAAATCTGCTCTGGATGGCGATGCTTAGACAGCTAACCCATGCTCTGTGATGCTCTTTCACAAGGCTGCACTTACCTGTCGGTTATCACGGCCGGGCATCATCTGTTGTGGTGTCTGGGACGCCCATCCGGAGACCAGTGGGGCAAATGAGACCTGACAATGGTGAGTCCATGGTAGGCTTTTAATGTGGCTTCTTGGTTTTTTTTAAATTAAAAAATTTTTCTTCCACATCACAGAATAGTGGAGAGGAAGGGCCTGGGACAGGGGCTGGGCTGTATCAGGAGAAGTGTGGCCAGCAGGTCAAGGGAGGTGATTCTCCCCCTCTGCTCTGCTCTGGTGAGACCCCACCTGGAGTGCTGCGTCCAGCTGTGGAGCCCCCAACATCAGAAGGATATTGACCACTTGGAGCGAGTCCAGAGGAGGCCACGGAGATGCTCCGAGGGCTGGAGCACCTCTGCTATGGGGACAGGCTGAGAGAGTTGGGCTTGTTCAGCCTGGAGAAGAGAAGGCTCCGGGGAGACCTTATAGCACCTTCCAGTACCTGAAGGGGCTACAAGGAAGCTGGAAGGGGGAAGCTTTTTACAAAAAAAGTAAAAAAAAAAAAAGTAAAAAGTAGTGACAGGACAAGGGGTAATGGGTTTAAATTGAAAGTGGGGAGGTTTAGATTAGATATCAGGAAGAAATTCTTCCCAGAGAGGGTGGTGAGGCACTGGGACAGGTTGCCCAGAGAAGCTGTGGATGCCCCATCCCTGGGAGTGTCCAAGGCCAGGCTGGATGAGGCTTGGGGGGACCCCGGGTCGTGGAAGGTGTCCCTGCCCATGGCAGGGGGTTGGAACTGGATGGGCTTTAGGGTCCCTTCCAACCCAAACAATTCTGTGATTATAAGCCCATCTCATGTGCATGCCAGGCAGCATCAGCTGCTCTGTTTCTTCTGGTTGAGACTTTTATTTCCCCACCTGCCTCCCTGTTGTAAAATACTCTTTCTTCTCTCCACAGATAAACCTCCAGTGTTTGGTGCTTGTAAGCGTCTGGATATTGAGTTAGAAATGGTAAGATGGGCTTTTTTCCCTACTACTTGAAAAACATTAAAACAGAAACAGGGAAGAAAAGGTAAGTTTAGCCTCTTTAAATTGAATGTCTCATAAGGTCAATTCCTGCATTTCTTTCTGAGCTGTCCGTGCAGCACACCACAAAGATTTCTATGGTCGAAACCTTCCCTTCTGGCAAGTTGCAGGGTACATTAGCCCACCGAGTGGTTTGCTGAAACAGAAATGAGTCGTCTGGCCAAATCTGAGCACCAGTGCATTAGCCTGGAAACACGCAGGCATATTCTTTTTATCAGGCACCAGAGCCTGTTATCTGGCTCACACTGGCACCTCAGCCAGGATCTTTTAATGGGCACTGGGGATTTTGGAAGTACGGGCTGTCTGCACCTTGAGCAGAGGAAGCCGTCAGTTCTTGGGAGTGCAATTTTAACTCCTCGTACTTCCGGCTGGAAAGATGAAAGCTGTGCTGTGGGTGTTGTGACAAAACATCTTTGGAAGCTGCATCCTCTCGTGGCTTAGCATGGTCCAGAATTATTATGGGATTGCTGATTGTGGCAGTCCCATGAAGTGGGGTACACGAAGTGCTGCCGTAGCTGTGCTTTGCAGCCTGGCTTTTACTGCTGGCTGCTGTCAGGGCAGATTCAGATTGGTGATGTCTTTGGAAAAAAACCCTTCCACATGGTTTGCAGAAAGAGACAACTGAGGTTCCCTGTAGGCTTCTGCACCAGGTGCTCAGGCTGTTTGTTGTCTGAGGGAGCAGGTCAGGCACCAAGCTCATGGCCTGTTCTACCTAGTGGGTACGTTTCTTCACTTACCTCACCTTCCCCACTGCCATGACGGGCTCCAGCTGCGTTCAGCATCCCCTTGGATGACTCTGGACTCTTTCCTGTTAATTTCCTGCAGCCAACTGTGTCACTTAGTGGGAAAACCCAATCTGCATCAGTTGTGATTAGGATTTTTACTCCATTTTTACTCCTCTGTTTTGACACCGTCATGCTCTCATTTAATGACTCCGTCTCATCAACACTCTAGCTCTTAAGTATTCCAAGCCTGCCAGCTTCATGGAAGGGAAGAGGGAGCACACCATGTGTTTTGTGTAATTGTGTGTGATGCGCAATACCACCCTGTGCAGCCTCTGTTGCTCGTGCATGTAACCCTCCATGAAGTAAAGATTTTTAGCTTCAAAAACTTCCTTAATCAACATTTTGCTTTCCAATTTCAGGCATTCTTTGTAGGTCCTGGAAACAAGTATGGGGAGCCAATTCCTATCAGCAGAGCCCATGAGCACATCTTCGGGATGGTCCTTATGAATGACTGGAGCGGTAACTGGTGCTGGGGGCGTCTGTTGGGGTTGGGGGTGTACAGCATCCTGAGAAACCATGGATAGGGGTAAATTGTATATTTTAATAATAGAATAGTGCTCATTGAAACCGCTGGGTATGGTTGAAAGGGGTGGAATGAAATGCTGTTTGCATTTCTGAGGCTCTATCTCAATCCATCTTCAATCAATCAGCAGAACCAGAAATTGCTGCTTAATGGAGATTTATTTACTTATGAAAAAGCTAATATCAGTCTAGTTTCTTCCGAGCAGGGATGGAGCAGCCCTAAGGCTGGTGATTTCAACAGAGGATTGATTTCAGTGTCAGGAGTAGGAAGAGAGTTTGGCAATCACAAATCCCTCAGTCTCTGCATAGATTTAAGGAGACAAGAGCATAGTTAACCAGTTGAAATTGGCCCTATGACTGGCACGGACCATTAGCTGGGTGTAAAAGCATTAACTAAATTGGGGATAAAATACTGGTTATTTAGGGATGGCCTGACTTGTTTTAAGCATTGCTGACTTTTCTTCCTGCTGTAGCTTGTCTGAGAAAATTGGTTTGAGGGTCTGAAAGGGGTGGATTTAAATCAGGATTTGGGCACAATGGCTGGAAAAGGGTGCTGGTTACTTCTCGGTGTTACTCTTTCACAGGTGTGACAGCCCTGCAATGCCTAGGAAACATTCAACAGCATTGCTTTGATTCTTCTCTTCCTAGCCCGCGACATCCAGAAATGGGAATACGTTCCTCTGGGTCCGTTCCTGAGCAAGAGCTTTGGCACAACCATCTCTCCTTGGGTTGTTACCATGGAAGCTCTCATGCCGTTCGTGTTGCCAAACCCTGTCCAGGTTAGCAAGAGAAAAGGTTAAAACAAAGAAAAAGCAGTGCTAGAAAAATCTCAGAAGGTCCCATCAGTAGAAATCAGTGAGCTGTACCCGTGCCAAGCACTTTCTTGATAGAGTTTAACAGTGTGATCCTGCTTCCAAGCAAATGAAGAAAAGCTGGGCCCTTTGGGCTCAAAAGCTCATTGATGCCACTGACACTGCTGCTCGGTGCCCTGAGCTGTCATCCTGCCTGCCTGAGCCGGGCAGAAAAATCCTCTCCTTCAAAACATCTGGAAAATAAACCCATCAGAGAGCTTCTTGTTAGTGTTTGGTAGTCCTTGGCATCCAGCAAGCAGTGGAGAGAGAGTGGATTCAAGCCAAAATGCTTTGTTCAAGCATTTCCAGTTGTCTGCATTATGTAGATGTTTAGTTAAAGTAGAAAAAGGTAATAAAGGGTCTTGCAGAGAACTCTCCGTCTTCTCTGTGCAGGCACAGAGCAAAGGTGTGCGAGCACTGTGTTTGTTGGGATCAGCACGCATGTAGAGGGCTTCTGGAGCCCACATGCAGATAAGGGAATCTGGTTAAATGGATCTAAGTCTGTTTAGAAAGGTCTTTAAGAGTGTGTGTGTGAGAGCAAGGAAAGCAATGACCCGGGCAAGAGCAATGGAGTAAGTGGGGTGTGCAGCGCAGCCTGGTTAAAACAGTCACTGGGATGGCCCGTGGAATTTTTCCTTTCTGTTTGTTTAGACTGTGATGTCTTTTATATGCTTTTAGGATCCCAAGCCGCTGCCCTACCTTCAGGATAAAGAACCCTACACTTTCGACATCAAGCTCTTTGTTGCTATTAAAGGTGCGGTAACGCTGAGTGGGCTGTAAAGCTGAAATTGCCAATTAAGGGAGGCAGAACCATCACATAGTCCAGAAAACTTGCTCTCTGCTCTGGGGTCCTTTTTTTCCATCTTTGTCCAGTTGCCTGTCAGAGAAAGTAGCCAAGCTCTTCATGCTCCTGGTTGGCTGTGCAGCAATGTGGCAAGGAGGGAATGCCTCCCAGATGATCAGCTTACGACAAGGAGGGTCCCTGGGGTGTCTGCCTGCATTGGGCAGGTGTAAGCAGGGCACGGGAAGAGCAGATGTACGTGAGATTCAGATGCTAACCCAGCTCAGACCCTCAGCTCAAGGCTCTGCTGACCTGTAGGTCAGGTGTTGCTCCTGTAGTAGAGCAGAGAGTAGGAAAGGCACCTTGATACTACCCCGGTGCCATCCACACACTTGTTTTCATGGAATGCTGGCCCCCTTGTGGGAAGAAAAATGTTATTCCTTGTTTCTTGGTAGGGATTACAATGATAAAGGAAGTTTCCATCCATCTGTAAAATCAGAAGACTCCAGTGTCATTCATCCAGCACAAACAAATTGCTTCCCTGTTTCTTATGTTTTATTTTCCACAGGAGAAGGAATGACCGTGCCAACTACTATCTGCAGATCCAATTTCAAGGTAAGATGCCAGTATCTTGTATTTGTTTGACATCTTGCCAAGGCCATCAGCTCCAGCCTTAGGCAGTGTCAAACGCTGACTTTTTCACAAGGTGAGGGTCAAGCCTGGCCTGTGTTTGTGTAGGGGACAGAGGGAGAAGAGTGGAGGGTGGCGATAGTTCATCCCTCTACTGAGATGGGAATGCCTGAATCCTGGAGCATGGAAGGAGAGGGCAGCTCTTTCTGCTGCTCAGCGTGCCCAGAGCACTGTAAGTGGTGTTCTCATGCTGCAGGAGAGCGGAGGACTCGCAGGCAGAAGGAATTGCCCCTCGCTGTGCCGTGGTGCTGGGCAGCTTTGCCATTGCAGCTGGTAGTTGAGATGCTGTGACACTGTTCTGACCCCGGATCTGTCCCCAGCCCCTCTGTGGGCAGCGTGGTGGCTCTGTCCCTGCGGGCACATGGGAGGGGTTGTAAGCCAGGAGGTGTATGGACCACCTGCAGGATTTTCCAATTTCATATTCACATTTGGTCCTTTGCATAGTGATTACCTTAATCAGTAAATCAGTAGTCAGCAAATCAGTAATTAGGAGATTTTTTTTTTCATAAACCCATTAAAATACCGGACTTAATCACGGATCATGGGTTAGTAGTGCTGGTATAAAGAGGAAGAAGGGGAGAAAAGACATCCAGCTGAAAGAACAGCAATTTTGAAGGACTAAATTGCATGTTAAAGTATGTGTTTTATACACACATAGCAACTTCTAGTTATCATTTAGAAAGCAATCAGCCAGGCTGCAGCAACTACTGAAAATGCAGCACTGAGTAACTGTGGAGGTTGCTTTGAGGCTGCTGAATCTTCCTGATTAAATAAGGAAACTTTTCTTTAGGGACAGTCTTACCAGCATCATCCCGAGAATGCAATATGTTCTGCATAGGCTAATGGCATGCCGGAGAGGTTTGTCCCTCATCGCTTTATCCTCCTCTTCCCCCTTCCTCCAGCACATGTACTGGACCATGAAGCAGCAGCTGGCTCATCATTCAGTCAATGGGTGCGACCTCAGGCCTGGAGACCTCCTGGCATCCGGCACGATCAGCGGACCCGTAAGTGTTTAAACGGTGATAGTCACGGAGAACTGGTCAGCAATCCAAAACCGGCTGAGCGGGGCTTTTGGTCTAAGGCCTGTTTGGTTTGAGCAGCCATGGGAATGTCTCAAGTTCTTTGCTGGGCATTTTGGTAGCTCCAGAATTGCACCGTAAAGTGGCACTCTTGTTACTGCTTTTTGGTTTTTAATCTTTCTCATGTTCCTTTCCCTAAGAGCTATTTTACTACAGATGCAAATTAATTTCCCTGCACAAGCATCCACGCGGCCCATGTAGGTTCTACAAAATGCTGCCTTTTTATTTCTAAGGATGTAAAAGGTGGGTGGGTATAACTTCAGTTTGTGCATACTACAGATATTACGTATCTGGAACCAACTTCACAAGTTGCTATTCCCCTTGCACTGCCATACGCACTGTTGTTGCAAGAGATGGTGAGGTACTGGCACTTTCTGCAAAGTCCTGTTCCATAAGTCCTGTTCAGGCTGTCTGAAAGAGCCTCAGGTAAGTTGTTTCCAGCCTGGGATACCTCTATTTCCATTTTGAGCCCTTCTGAAGTTATTTTTGCTTCCACTATACTATAGTGCTGCAGACTGACGTTAAAGACACTTACAAACCTGTGCCAGCTTTGCTTTTCTGAAGAGCAAAAAGTAAATAAAACTCTGAAACGTGACTCCATAAAAGTGCTGGATTTGTAGAAGTGCCCTCAGTTTGTTTCCATTCTTGCTGTAGCAGAGCCAAAGTACTTTTACTGCCACGGTGTTAAACACACCAGGTAACGGCTGTGAGCATGACTGCTTACAGTGAGCAGGCAATTAAAAAGCAAAAGCAGGAACACCAGGTAACGGCTGTGAGCATGACTGCTTACAGTGAGCAGGCAATTAAAATGCAAAAGCAGGAAAACAAGCCACGTTAAGTCAACAGCAACACTCTCTTCTATAGAGCAAATGTACCTGTGTGTCTACTCCCAGCAGCAAGTGTCTGAACCATAGGAATAGAGACAAAAAAGCTGTTTATTTGTTTATGAACTCTTGCTGCAGGAGCCGGAGAGCTTTGGCTCCATGCTGGAGCTGTCCTGGAACGGAACAAAAGAAATCCCTCTCGGCAGCGGACAGTCTCGTAAATTCCTGCAGGATGGAGATGAAATCATTTTGACAGGTAATGGCCGAGCAGCTGCTCTTACAGCACAGCAAGGACGTGTTTTCACAGCCAGATCCCACTTGTGTAAGCACCGGGCGGGGAGATGGGCTGCTCCATACGTGCCTGCCACGCAGGCACAGTTGTGTCCATCCTACCTGTCAGGAGACAAAAGCAGGTGGATAGAAGTTTCCCTGCAATAAGCACTTTCTGGATTAGATTATTTGTGTTGTTAACTAGTCAATGATCTTACTGTGCCTGTGTGTGAGTGCTGAGGGGACGATGGGGAAGGTTTGCCGTTATGGGCAAAAATATCCTACACTAGAAGCAGGTGATGTGTTGTTGCCACCACAGTCCCAGTTTGCATGCAGAGCAGAGCTTGGCAAATGCTGAAAAAAGGTATTTTGCAAATAATATTTCATTTGCAACATATGCATATTCAATGATGAAGTGTGTTGCAAACCAAATATGTGGGAAAGAGCATGAAGCCTGCTAGGACAGCTGGCCAGCTCCCCTCTGAAAAGGGCTGGGCTTGAGAGCTCTTTCATGCTGGGCCATCATTTTCATCTTGAGAAACTAAGGACTTTATGAATTAAAATCTACCCTGGTGGTTTGAGATCAAAATTCCACTTCTACTTCTTTTTAATACAAACACTAGTGCAAACCACATCTATATTTTCCTGTCCTCTCATCATGTCAGCCCCTGCATGGCAAATACTTGCCAAGAACAGCCATGAGAAACTTTTGATTCAAGCCTGCATGTGTCTTTGCTGTCACCTCCTGAATTTTTAGAGAATATCTTGTGGGATGTTGTGCATCATCAGATGAGACCCAGCCAGTGCCTCATCAGGTTCTGAGCAACGGTATCATGCTGCTGGGATGAGAGACAGCCTGCACAGAGAACCAAATGACTCAAGTGATGAAGAAGATGCTTACAAATGGGACTGAGGGCAGCGAAAATGTGACTAATGCCTATGCAGTGACCTGAAGGACACATGGCTGTGATGCTAGTATGTGTCCACCTCCCTGTGCCTATTTAATCCAACCAGGACTGGTAGGATTTTTTTCCAAATCCTAAAATATATATTTTTTTTCCCCCAGAAATCTTTAAAACCTGAGACATTTCCTGTGATAAAAATAATAATGTGTGGATGTGTTCCAGTCCCCCAGTGACTGCTCTATAGGCAGTTTTGGTAGTGCTGCAGGCAAGCCTCAGCGTCTCCTGCCTGGCAACCTTGGCAATAGCTTTGAAAAACATGTTTCTGTGAGGTACTGCCAGTTTTGAAGAGGAAGGTGCTGAGACAACTAGAGATTGTGATGTATTGGAGAGAGCCCTAGATAGTGAAACCAAGGAGTCTCCAGCACCTCTGGCATCCTTCAGTCTTCCAACTACCCAGCGACTATTCCCGCTGCGACATGTAGGCTGGAAGAGGCTTGGAGCAACCTGGTCTACTGGAGGGTGTCTCTGCCCATGGCAGGGGGGTTGGAACTGGATGGTCTTTAAGGTCCCTTCCAACCCAAACCATTCTGTGTAGGCATCAGACGCTGCTCTCCAGAGGCTCCCTATACATTGAGTGCAAAAAGACACTCCTGCAGCAATTCAGAGCACCTCATTGTCATGTCCCCACCCCGCCCCCCTCCCCAGAGGTGCAGATCTCTCTCTAGTAACGAAGCCAGCAGCCCTGAATTAGGGTACAGTTAGTTGTTATGAACGTCCCTTTGGAGTTACCTGGTGACATTCTTATTGTCAATGAGCAGTTTTGGGAGTTGCTGGCGAGGTGGTCAGCTGAGGGTCTAGATGTAGACCATGACCCATGTTCTTCTTCATGCCCAGAACTGCCCTTAAATAAATATTTTAGATCCCAAATGTCTTTTGTCTTTAAAGATGGCCTGGTGACATTGTTGTTAAGTGGGATGTAGGCACCGTTGCCCCAGTGGGACAGACTCATGTCAATCTGTCTGCTGTGCTATTTTACATGAGCAAACAGTTTGTGGTTGTAGTGATCAGGACATTGCACCATTCACGAGAGCCAGGGGCCGCTGGGGCGGTCTGCTGGGACAGTTTGGGATCTGCTCCCATTTAGTGATGTATGGCAGATCCAGTGCCTGAAGGCACCCGTGAGGCAGGGCTGGTGCTATTGCATCCTCTCCTGAGGCTGTGCTGTTAGCTCTTGCCAAGTGCCCAACCCATGATTTCTGCTCTCCCATTCCAACTTTGTATTTTCACTCCCCTTGTGGGAGCTATTTCAGGGCCCTAACACATAAAATGAAATATATTTTTCCCAAGAAGTGTGTTTTGGGGAGGGAGAATTGCTAGGCAAGGTTGCTGCAGCCGGCTGCAAAAATCTCCCTGCCGCTCCTTGGCCCTGCTCAGGCTGACGCTGCTGGCAGCACAGCGCTTGTTTGGTTGAATGTGCTGCTCCTTGGTACTGCTCTAAATCGTAGCTGACAGCGGGGATAACTAAACTGGACTGAAATAATCAGCTGGCGCTCAAGGGAAAGCTGGCAATGGAGCCTAATGAGACAAATGGAAACTGAGCTGAGCCTGAAAGCGTCTTACTCAAGCATTGCTGACGGACGAGGGCTACCCAGCGGAGACTGGGATGGTGGCAGTGGGCAGGCTGTCACCCAGGCACTTGCAGACACTGCTGTCCTTGGGCAGGCTTCACCTCAGCCTGGCTGTGAGAGCTGCACGGTGGCTTACAGCCTGATGCTCTGCAGCCTGAGCCCACCCCATCCTCCTCTTCCTCGAAGGAGTTTCCACTGATCCATGCTAAGGGTGGGAATTAGAGTTAAGGTCTGTTCTGTTCAGCTCCCTGTTGGCTTCTCAGAGGCAGCTGGTTTTTATCCCATGCAGGGAAGATGATGTATTCCATTATTTTAGGAGAATCCATCTCTGACTGTGAAAGCAATCCTTAAAGTACAGCATATGCCACTTGTGTCCTTCCTTTGATCAGCTGGTGTTAGCGGAGAGCTACAGTAGGTCTCCTCAGCTGTTTCTTCCCAGAATAGTCTTCCCAGATGAGCCAGAAGCCCCTGACTGTGTCCCCTCCCCTCCTGCACCTCCAGCTTTGCGATCGGATGCTGTCTCTGGAGCAGCCTGCCTAGCCCGGGGCAGCAAGAGGCGCTGCAGCATCTCTGTCCTGATACCATTGCTCCCATCACGCAGGAGTAGGGAGATGGAATCGTCCTGTAGTTCGAGATGTTGTCACAGGCCGGTAACTTCAGCAGCAGCCAGCAGACCTTCAATGCCTGTTTATATAATAGAGGATAAAGGAAGATGCTGAGTCAGATGCTGAATTTCTCGTGGAACTAAGCGATATTATTTCAGTGAGCAAAACAGATTCTGCAAGGATAGGTCTGACTGTTTGAGGGGGTTTAGTAATCATCTTTTCCTGCTATAAGCATCCCCATGTCTCAAGAGCAGCACTACTGCTGCAGAAAGAAAATTCAGATTTACGTTATTAATTTCAAGGCTGGGCCAGACCAGCTTGCCAGTTAGACTGATGATGCTGCAGGTTAGGTTTGAAAACAGAAATGTTTCACGTCTTGTTTGCTCTTTGATCAATTCACTGAACTTGCATATTGCTGTGTTTAACATTTTGTGCTTCTTTTCTTCTTTGTTTTCTATTCCTAGGCTACTTGAACTCTTCCAGGTGTTTTTTTTTTTTTTTACTCCTCATTGCATTTCTGAAACATTTCCTCTTGTGTTTGGTCTCTTTATGCCTTTATTCACTTTCATTCCTGGTAAAATCCTGCTGTCCTTACAGAACAAGCTGTCTGTTGTTTTCTGGCCCTAGGTTACTGCCAGGGCAACGGCTTCCGTGTCGGATTTGGCCAGTGCTCGGGAAGAATCCTTCCAGCCCTGTCAGACCCATGATGACTGGAGTAAGGTGACATCAGGGGAGGAGGATCTCTCCCCACACCTCTAACAGTCATAGGGCTTCATTTGGATTTATTCTTTTTATGTAAGTGATTGAAATCTTATTTTTAATTATCAATAAATGTCTTAAAGATGAAAGTGGCTCTGTGGTGCGATAAGAAAAGGATTTAACTGCTAGCTTAAAATCCTTGGAATGAGAATAAAATTATTGAAATGGAGGGAGTGAGATTCTTAGCTCTTCTACTACAGTTACATTTTCTTCATAATTATAAAAAGAGACTTTCAAATAAACTTAAATATTCAGGGTACTAAGTGGATGATACCAGCTGAGATTGCATGCTGGCTTCTTTTTTCCACACTGTTAATATGCTGGAGGTAAAATCCTAAGGGGGAGATGCATATGGATGATAAAAACTTGTAGACCATCCTGAGTAAGAGAGAGTTGCTTGACTGTGCCCTAAACTAATTTGTAACAAAGTAATTTGCAAATGTGATAATCAGTACAACTGAAAGCAACAGGAAAGCAAACCCAGAGAGTACTAGGCAGCTAACAAGCTTTTAAAACAGTGAAAACAGAAATCGTACTGTACAAAATAAACCCCAGCCCACCAGCAAACAACTGATGAGGGCCAAGAAGGCTCAGCACCGAACTCCGCCATCCTAGAAAGAAAAGGTGTGCAGGCTTTGGAGTTCAACCCTTACACTGCAGCACTGAGGGGTTCCTGGAAATAAAGCCCAGCAGGTTGTAACCTACAGCTGCTGCCCTTCCCTTGCCCCAGGAGCAGGCGCATTGTCCCTACTCCTGTCCTCATGCAAGCAGAGGTACCGTGTCCCAGCACAAGGACTGATGCCAGCCCTGAGCTGAGAGTCCGTGCTGGGGCACCCTTCAAAAGAGAGCATGGAGATACCTCGTGCACCTTGTTGTAGAGAAGGGAATTCCCCATTTCTCTTGCCCTGTGCACCAGGGAGAGAGGATTTCATGGCTGGAGTGATCCCTAGGTGCTCACCGGTGGCTGTCACATCTTCTGACCTAAGAGATGCTGCTGTAGGAGGACACCGAGGGGGCAGATCCCCTTCCTGCACTCCTAAAAGCCGCCTCTTGCTCTGGCATCCCCGTGCAGCAGGCAGTAAACAAAGTCCACGTGCCCCTTTTCTCAAGTGTAAAGGGCACCTGCTGTCTCCCACTGGTCTACAAATCAATTTAACTCTATGGCCAAGTGCCAAATCACATCAATTAGGGGATATTACTGACTGAAGGAGCTCAGGAGACTGGATAATGAACTCTGGTACAGTGCAAGGGGAACTTGTTAAATATTTGCTTGGTCCTCAAAGTGAAGAGCCTGATGAGGCTGCTGGCTTCATGCAGTGACAGCAGGATGAGGGAGGGGCTGCTGCTTTCCTGTGGCTGTCCTCTCGCTCCTCCCGAGGTCTGCCGGGGAGTTTTGGTGGTGTGGGCCATGCTTGTATTTGATGCCATCCTGGGCAGCACCCGGTGCCCATCGGGGATGTGAACCTCTTGGCCACGCAGGAGAGAAAAATGTATTTGTAATGAAGATTAATGAAAAAATATGGCAGTGCAGATAAATCACTGCTAACTGGGCATGTTCATGAAATGGGCTCTCTTCCAGTGTGCAGTAATAGTAGTCCCCTTAAATAACAATACTTGGAGGATCATCACCCCCAGATCAATTTAAATTTTTAGCTTATGACATTCCACTATCACCAGGAAGAATGACCTGGCCAGGAAAACAGTGGCTCATTGCTGTTTATCAAAGAAAAGCTATTATTTAATTTACTCTGGCTTGGTTGTCGATATATGGGATGCTTTGTGCTCTCATTTGACCTCAAAGGACAACCACAGGTTGACACCTTCTCTCTTGGAGATTTAGAAATAACTCACACGGTTTCCCTGAGCACAGCCTGGCTTTACGCCTGGCAGCAGCAGGAGGGCACAGAAAGTATAGAATTTTCTCCTCCCCATGTAGAATTTTCTCGTCAGCAGCAACATCCATGCCTCACCTTGCTGTATCTGATGTGTTGGAAATGCAACGCCTGAGGAGAGTGGGGCACCCACGGAGAGGACATCCACCCCAGGGCTCTGCAGTTCTTGCTGACCCTGGAAATTGCACTCCTTGCTCGCACAGGCTGGAGGGTCAGTGGTGCTGGCTGCCCTGTGCAAACCAAACCCTGGCAGGACAGAGGCACCCAGATGGGAATGTCCCCAGGCTGGGTCCCGACCCAGAGCCAGGCTGCCATCCACACCCCTGGCTCTGCGGGAGGAGAGTGGCTTTGCATCTGCTGTGGCTACGATTTCCATCCCAGGGTCACAGCACCTCCCGTCTGGTCAAGCATCCCCACACCATGCTGGGGATGGGTGGCGGTGGTAAGGTCCTGCCTGTGACCTCGAAGTGACAGAGCTGAGCCTCTCTAGCCTGGGGACAGCTGGAGATGTCCCAGGTTCCCAGAAGGTGGATATTTTCTGGGAAGGAGCTCAGACACAGCTCTGAGAGCAGGTTTCAGAGGTGATCTGGAGAAAGTCCAAAACCTCACTCAGGAGAGAGCACAGAAACATCTGCTGCCTGCTGCATGGATGGGGGCCAAAAAGCCAAGAGATGCCAAGAAAGGAGAGAAATTTTTTATGCCCAAGGCCACTTTCTTTTCACCCCAGGAGAAGGTAGTGGGCTTCATTCAGGTGGGTGCTGGGGAGAAGGAGGCCCACAGCTGGGCACAGCAAGCCCAGACCCACCAGCACCCCCGATCCTCACCCCTGCCAGGGTGCCCCGTGTCAAGGGACAGATGAAGGGTGTGTCCATGCTGCGATGTGCAGTGCTGTCCTTAAAACATCATTCCTAGGTCTAGCAGTGCTACAACCACAGCAGCATCCCCTGCCTGGGGAGGCAGCAAGCTCCAACAGTTTTGGGAAGCAGCCGGGTGCTCCAGGAACTTCCCACCTGCTCTACCTCCCCTGGGGTAACGTGACCACTTCACACATTTGGCCTTTAAATTGAAGGTCATGGAGCACCATCTTGTTTCAGGAAGAAGGTGTCTGCAGGGTAGGGGTGAAGCTGAACAGTGGGGGACAGGGGAGGCTCTTGGAGCAGGACGATGCTTCAGTTTGGGTGCTGTCAGTTCAGCATGCAGACCTGATGCATAGGAAAGGTTGTGTTTGCTATTTCAACTGGCTTGACCCTCTAGAAAGAGCTTTCCCTCCACTTCGGGGAATTTTTGCTGCAATTAGGCTCGAGCGTGGCTCTCTGCTACTAGAGGTTATTAGTTTTAATTTGATTTAAATCTGTTTTCCTTAGTTTGCTTACATCCTGGCTTCCAGCAACCATAAAAAAGTAAAGAAAGAAAAAAAAATCAATCTGAGAGTTCCTTTGCCCTGTTGTTGAACCAGGTTTGTGACCTGGGTGTAAGAAAAGAAATTCCTCCTTGGGTCTCCAGAGGCCAGGAGGGAAAATATAAAACATTTCTGCTGCATCAGACACCTGGGCGACCTTGTTCAGAATCATGCAATGTTGGGTGGGAAGAGACCCTGCTTTCCTGACCGGAGGAAAGGGAAATGCATGTGTAAATGGAAACCAGGGCTTTTAGGCTTGCCTGGAGCATCCTTCTTGCTGGCCGGCTGTTTCCTAGAGGTTGGCAGTTCCCAGAAGTGAGCTGTGCTGGAGCGCAGTGATCCTGGGCGTGAGTAACGTAGAGATGTGGGATGAAAGGTGTGGGGGGGACGTGGGTGGTGCTTCTGTGTCAGACCGCCTTTTCAAAGGGCGGTCATACACGCAATGAATCATACTGCCTGGTAGTATTTCATCTGGATTTGTTATTTTGCTGGTGAGACAACTAAGGGCAGCGTCTGTTTGAGATGCATTTTCTTACAGATCAAAGCATCGTCTGGTTGGTGTGTAATGCAAAAGCTGGGCATAATTTATAATAATGCTGTTGGTATAATTAAGTGTCAGAAGAAAAGCAGGGAATAAAGCCCTAAAGCGTATTTCAGAATTTAAAGGAAACAATGGATTTTCTGTGTGAAATGCTGGCATTCTTCACCAAAAGTAGTTTTCTGCAGAGATTCTAATTAGAAATGGATGCGATATCATGGGGAAAAAAAATGAGTTTCGAAGAAAATGTTCAGATCAGCAACATTCATAATTCCTTCATTAACCAGTCAGTAATAAAGTAAAATGCTTTTTCAGTAGCCATTCAGGGTCAAGGTAGTGACTTTGTGAAGAAGGAGAGAGCTAGTAGGTGATATTCACGTTGGGTTTGGCTTTAAGCACTAAGGCCATTTCTCAGGCTTGATTGCTGCTTCTGCTCAGGATGCCCACACAATTGCTGCTTAGTGGGAAAGAAGGAGATAATTTCTGGAATATTAAAACTGATTGAAGGCTTTGGAAGGACGCGAGGGACATGCTGAAGTACTGTGCTGGCTCACGCCAAACTGCTGTGAGCTGTTCATCCTTCTCCTGTCCCCTCATTCCCAAGAACAACTTCATGTCAAGGCTTTCTCTGTTGCACACATTTAGTTTTCCATGGAGCTTTAATTACAGACCTGTGCTTTCTAATTTTTACTCCAGTTGCTCCATATTGTCTAGTTGGCAGCTGTAAGAGAGCTGGTGGGGCACAGTTGGTGCTTAAGGGAAATGCTGCAGGAGTGAAGTCCCTGGCAGGGGCTGAGCAGACCTCAGCTTGTAGGGTCGACACCAACAAACATTAAGGGCTTGGTTGGGGCCTGCAAGTGCAGGGGGAGTTTCCTGTCCCCCTCCTCGCTGTGTGCTGGGTCCAGGGCAGCTGTGCTTCAGGGCTTGGGACCTGCAGCTCCCCTGCCCTGCGGAGGGATGGATTCCCTGGAGCTGCCATGTCCCAGGACCCTGCTCTGGGGGCTGCCTCGGGGGCTGGTGGGGTGCCCAGCTCTGCTGCCCACTCGGCTCTACCAGGCACTTCGTTTGCTCTGCAGAGGCAATACGGCTGCTGCTAGAGAAATCCGATTAGTCTTAAATATGAAATATGTATGGCAAAACTTTGCTTTCCTT